GGAGGAGGAAGAAGAGAGATAGGAGGAGGAAGAAGTGGGGGAAAACTTCCCTCAACAAAAATATGTATACATTTTTGGTAACCCTAATATAATTTTCAAGTGTAATGTAAGGAGTGTTGGGATTAATAAAATTTATTTTCAAGGCATTACTAGTTTCCTGTGCAGTTAAGAGTCTTAAACAGTAAACCAAAGGAAGCACATACTGTGCTTATTTTCCTCACCAGTGAAGAGCAGAATGCCCATTAAGTAAAGATTTTTAAATTGTCAAAAGCAAAATCATTTATTCTGATCAAACCTTTGCATCTCAATAGGGGGTCACTGTTGGGACAATGGGTTGTGGGTTCCATTAGTGTCCCTCACCACCTGGCAAGTCCTAAGCTCTTGGTGCCTCGATCGTTTCCTTGTGTATAAAATTGGACTGTTACTTTAGAGGGTCTGGGGACTCAAAAAGCAACGATCAGAATGTTTTGCAAATTGTAACTTGAACTGGACCTACAGCTAAAACTGGGAGGCCAGAGGCAGGTTGTGGTCTCTAATGGCGGACTCAGATTAGCAGGAACACTCTGGGTGCTTAGACCAGAGTGGGAGCTCCTTGTGTCTGGATGGAAGTTGAGCCAAGCAGATAAAATTAAAGAAAGTTTGGGAATGGAGCCTCCAGTCAGGGCATGTGCAAGGACAAATTCACTTTGAGGCTTTACAAGACAGAGTTCAAAGGTTTGCTTTCTTCCAAAATACCCTGCATTCATTGGCAAGTCCTAATCTGGCCCATCTCTGGGTACCCGTTTCATCCCAACATAAACAACTGTGATTAAGTATGTTGCTGCTGGCGACTCGAGCTGAATAAAAAGCAAGTCAGGTCTGAACCGAACCCTGAAATCAGATCATTAGCCAAGGTCATGACTGGTTTAGAAATGTGTGTTGTTTTTTCTCCAGTCACTTGCCAGCAATCTATGGCACGTCCTTCCCATCCCCCTCAAAGTTTGCAGTCAGCTGGGCCCTGAGCCATGCAAGAGACTTGTTTTTAATGGCAAAACCTTCAAAGTTGTACTGAAAATATTTGCATCATAAAATCCCTCATGGAAGCCAAACTTCCGTTTCAGAAGGAGCCTTCTAGCAAGCTGGGAAACTTTCTTTCAGAGGTATAAGACAGAGTCCTACAAACAGCACCATCTTCCAGGAGCTGAATCCAGGGAGGCTGGTGACATCCGCGGAGAATGGGATTGTTAGGCATCGCAGTGTCTGGGAAAAAACTCCAAATGGCTTTCCCCCCTAAGCCAGCGACAGTGTGAGATGACTCAGCAGTTCACTGAGCGATTCAGAAGAAAAAAAAAAAAAAGGTGTGTTTTCACACATTTAATTGAGCCTGTGAGCAAATAAGCACCAAGCAAGGAAGATGAGTAGCTGCTGACTTCACCATGGGAGGGTTAGTCCCTCGTCACTTGTACTTTTCTCCCATATCCAGGATTAATTAGACCCATATGGAAGGTGGCAGGCCGGTTCTGATAGAACTTGCTTTCAGAAAAAAAAATAAATCAATAAAAATCTAGAAAACAATGTTTTGACCGTTTCTATGTAGCATCCGGACTCAGAAAGGCAAAAGAAATTGTGAGGGAAAGTGATTATTCTCTTGACACAAAGGATTCTTGATCTCAGGGGACCCGTCGAGAATCCCTTAAAAGTGAGACTCCCTCTTATAGGTTTTAGACCTAAAGAAACTCAATTTGTGGACAAAGGACACTCATTTTATTTTGCTGAGTGGGATGTAAAACCTGAAGAGGTGAGGGCAGGAGTGCTGGCAGAAAAGATGTTGAATTTGGGGGAAAGAGCCCATCTTAAGGGGAAGGAAGTTCCTTCTACACGGAGTGCAAGGACAATCTCCCTTTCACCCCCCTGACCTCCAAAGCAGAATATCAGTTTCTTGTTTAAAAAAAAAGGGGGGAATGGTGGGACCACACCTATGGTGCATATTGCAAGGGTACATGTTGGATCTATTGAGTATAGAGCATAAGTGTCTTAACACAATAAGGAAGTAAACGAGGTGAGGGATATATTAACTAGTGTGATGTAAGCATTCCTAATTGTATATGAAATCAGCACATTGTACCCTATCAATGCATTGACGTATAGATGATCTATGTGTTTATGATTTAATAAAAAATAAAATAAAAACAGGTTTTGTTCAGAATTACAACCCTCACACCCCCACACATTTTTAAAAAAAAAAAAAAGTCAGTTGCATTCGACCAGCTTTTGTGATCTAATCATTACTCAGAGCTGAAGGTGGTTTTCCATTAAAGCGTCTCCGTCACTCTTCCTTCCTGACCTGTGAACGCTCTTATTAGCTGCCTTATTAAGATGATATCCTGTCTCTGAAGTAAGAAGATTATCTCCTTACCTGACATGTCATTATCGGAGTCATCTTTGTTCCCTTCCCCCACCAAAAAAAAAAAAAAAAAGCTGACTGTTAACTAGACGTTTAAATTTATGGCTCACTGTGCTATCTGCAGGAACACATTTATAATGGGATATACTTAGAGGTAGGGAGTTGAGCCTTAGTGACTTAACTCTTTCAAGAGGAGCAAATGAAGCCAGAGGAAGTAGCTGCTTTGTCTGAAGTTGTTTGATTTGGGGGGGGGTACACACTTGAGCATTAAAGACCCATAGGATCAAAGAAGAAACACATTAAAATAAAATCTAAATGAGATGTGCATTTTGCATATACTACTGTGCCTGATATATGGGCAGGCAAACCTGGGTATGTCCTAATAAAAATGTGCTCGGGCAGAAGGTTTGAAGACGGCTGCTGTATTGGGTAAATCAAAGGCAATAATGGGCCGAGGGAAGCCATCACTGGGACTCCTGGTCTCCCACCTGTGGCCTCCTCCTGGCTGACCATCACAGGGCGCTGCCAACGAAGTGGTCAGTCTCCTCGCTCATTTCCCACCCTAGACATAAGGAAGTTAAGAGAAAACCAGCTGCCTCTATCCAACAAAATGGAAAATTTCTTTGGTTTACTGACCCTGATACACAGTAGAACCTCCACAGTTGGCCACCTCCCTACACTGACGACCTCTTTAAGTTGACCTCATTTTCAGAGACTGGACATGCACCATAAGAACTCAATGGTACACGTTCTCGATGGTTACGTTCCTTATTATGACCACCTCTGTATGTTGACCAGTTGGTCACAGTCCCTCAGGTTGACTTTCTGGGCAGAAACTGAGCAGCTCAGGCCCTACTCTCATCCCTATCCATGGGACAGCCTGGTCAATTGTGGGATCTTTGACTTCTGAGTGGCCTTTGGTCTAATTTAAATGAACATAGAGAGAGAAGGCGGGTGGCAGTGTTTAAACGACGTGTAATATAGATATATTATGGGGTGTTTAATAAGACCATGTATGGTCTCCATGGAGGCTAAGAGTGGTAATAATGTCACAGTGGGGCCCATTTCTACCAAGGTGCCGTTGAGTCCCTCCACTTCCATCCTCATCTGAGTCTGGGCTTGGAGACCCTTCTTCCCTTTTGTGGAATTGGGTCTTCTGTCTGCAGGGCCTGGCCCGAGCCAAGTGCACAGCTCCAGAGAGCCTGGTCTCACTCCTCCTTGGGACATGTCCTCCCAGGTGATCCCCCAAGTCACTGTGAAGTGTTCTGGAGCCAGGAGGTCAGGTCACTGAAACAAGGTGGCTTCGTGGAGCACATTTTCACTTCTCGGTCAACCTGTTTCCCTTCCTGCGTCCCTTCCCCGCGCAGCTCACGCTGCCAGCTTTAATCCCGTGTGAGTCCCTTTGTGCTCTGAGTCCCTTTGACACTGTCTTTCCTGCTCTGCTTCATGCCGTCAGCCGAGATAAATAACCTGTGTGTTTTGGCATCTGCAATGGGCCTCCTGGTCAGTGAGAAAATTAACAAATCTGTCCCTCTTCCCTTTTCTACTTGGCCACACCTGGCATGCTCAGAACCCAAGTGCTAATATTGCCTTGGCTTCCCAGGCATCTCTTGTTCCTAATCTGGAGGTGACAGAATTTAGATTTGGTGACAGGATGAGGGCTGCGGAGACAACCAGCTAGTGCTGGGCACTCCACACGAGGGCATTTTTGACAGGTCCTTGCAAAACCTGCACTTTGGGTGGGAACCCCATTGCCTCTATCTGTGCACAGGACATACCTAGGGGTGTCCTGCCCTTCAGGGCTTCAAAACACCACGCAAATACCAGTAAGTATTTATCTCAAAGAAATAGAGAAAACTTAGTTTGAAATTTGGGAAATAAGAACCACGTTAATAACAGAAGTAGGGTAGAATTGGGACTTTTCTCTGGGCTCATGGCATGTGAAACCAAAATTCTACCTGCCAGGAATGGTGGCTCATGCCTGTAATCCTAGCACTCTGGGAGGCTGAGGCAGGTGACTTCCTTGAGCTCAGGAGTTCGAGACCAACCTGAGCAAGCGTGAGACCCTGTCTCTATAAAAATAGCCAAGTGCTGTGGCGGGGACGTGCAGTCCCAGCTCCTCGGGAGGCTGAGGCAGAAGATCACTTGAGCCCAAGAGTTTGAGGATGCTGGAACGAAGACACCATAGCAGGCTACCCAGGGCAGGGCGACAGAGTGCGACTCTATCTCAAAAAAGAAAACTCAACCAAAACATTTGGCTTGCCAAGATGATCTAAGGTGAGTGCAGGGCTGTAACTGGAAATAGTAGATAGTTTTCTGTATAGTTTTTCCTTCTATTTAATTCTAGCATATTAGTTCCTTCAGTTTAGAATTCCCCATGCAGCTGGGGCCTTCCAGAGGATTCATGAAGAAGGTCCTTCTCTCGTCTCCACCCCTCTCTACCTCTACTGGTGTGCCAAAGAGCAATCAATCACCCATTTCTGTGTTTGCACACAGGCAGATAGGAAGAAACTTTCAACTTTCTCTAAATATGAAAAAAAAAATCTGTTAATATACTTAAAAAAAAAAAAAAACCCAGCTAGGCGAGACTCAACAGGAATACTCCAGACACCACAGAGAACAGGAAGAAATATGCCTTTTATTAGAAGTCTCGTATGTACAGGGAAAGCTGTTTCTCACAGCTCGGGGAAGGCTGTGAGAAAGGGCCACTGTCATCCAAGGTCGCCGCGCGTACATGGGGAATGCCATTTAGACACTGCTGCATATTATTAACAAATAGAACCATGGCAGGGAGAGGCAGACGGGACACAGGTACGTGTGTGTGTGGACGCTTCACAGAGTTTCTAAAAAAACAAGTCGACACAAAAATACAACGTGCCAGTAAAAAAAAAAAAAAAAATAGGCATATCAATACATGTCTTTTTGTTTTTTCTTTTTTGTTAATACACAGTATGTTGAGCTTTCATCTCAAGCTTTTTTTCACATTGGGATTTGCAGGCACTTTAGCAATCCAGCCACGGTTTACAAGACAGGACGTTCAGACCAGCAGGAAAGCAGGAGTGCTCCGGCCCCGCACCACGTTAAAACACGGACACAAGCGCAAGCTTTCTGCTGTCACTGCGTTGGGACCCCAAATGTGCTCTGGGTGACGTATGACAGCGTTTCCCCTTACTGGTCTTGGATGTCTCACGGCAGGGTTGTTTCACAACGTGGCCTCGCCAGGCAGAGACAGGCATCCCTTCTGACCAACTTTTCAAAAACGCAGAGTGTGACTCAGTTTTTAGAATCCAGAAACGATTATCTGATTTCTCTTTGCCCCAGTCTCTGCCCTTCCTGCCAACCTGCCCAAACAAAAACTAATTAATTACTGGGATACACTGGGCCATGAGCTCATCCTGGGGAAATTCTTGTCTGAGCTCCCACTGCCCACCTGGTGGGCAGGCTGGGTCCTCTCCCATCAGGGGTCACCCCCGTCTCGGCTCCCACGTTTCCTATGCTGAGCTGTGCTGACTGGACGTGTGTGTCAGGAACGTGAGCGAACAAGTGTATTTATAAACACAGACTAGAAGCATCATTTTATTGGTAATGTTGAATTATAAGGCAGTTACAAAAAGACTTCCATGACAACCAAACAGTGCTGGGGTATGGCTTAGCTGCTTTCATGGGGTGACGGAACTTTCCTTTGATGAGGAGCTGAGAGGGGAAAAGCAAACCCACGGCGATGACAAAATACTACAGATGACTGTGCTGGGAAGAAAGCCCCCATTTTTGGTATAGGTTGCCCACTCGCACCCACCACAGACTGAGATGCCGCCTCGGAGCGGAGAGAACTTAGAGGGGAAGACGGGGACTCACTCATCCTCCTCAATAATGTTCACGGGTCGCCACAAGTTGTGCGGAGCCACGGACATCTCACGAGCTGGGGCCGAGATGCCTGGGACCCCAGAGAGACACAGGGCCCGCGATCGCCTCCCCTAGACGATTGTCAGATGGTGGGGAGATCCTTCCAGGACACAGACGCTTGAGACATCGTGCAAAGACATTAAGGCCTCCGTTTCTTTGCCCACACTGCTTAAAGGCACTGATACCGACAACAGAAATATTCCATAGTACCATCGAGGTTTTTAAAAAACTCCCAAAATACAAGTCTGCGTAGGAAAATGTTTCTTATTGCGTGACACAAAGCAGCCATTCTTCTCGTGCTCAGGAGTAGAAGGGCCTCCCTTTCTCGGGGGTCTGGAGTCTGTTCAGCCTGGCGACCTGAGAAGGCGAGGGGGGCACATCCTGCCGGAAGGGCCCCTTGGGAGGGGCGTAGTTGGGGTCCTGGACTTTCTTATATGAGTCATAGTTGTTGGGCCCCTCGGGAACCGGCTGTTTCTTCATCTGCTGCTCTTTCCGCCTCTGCTCCTGGCGAAGCAGCTCCTGAGTCTCTAGCATGACCCTGGCGTTGAAGCCGTGTCCTCCCAGGTAGCCGTTTCGGGAGCCCTGGTAGCTGGAGTACCGGGGGTTCTCCTTGGCACTCTGGAAGCCTTCCCCGGGGGAGTAGCTTTGCTCCCAAGAATCCTGGGAGACCGAGCTGGCGTTTTTCCTGCTTTGCCTAGAAAACAAAACCCGAAGTTTAGTGCGAGGGCTGGGAGGAGGAGAAGGTGGGGAACGGGAAGGGAGGGATGGGATGTGAATTTTAATGTTTCAACGGATATTACTGCATTCTCATCACGCGTCCTCTACTGCAGCTGGAGAACTCAAAAATGACTGTCCTCAGCAGGCTCACAGTCTTAGACGACGTACACAATGACTAAACGGGAAGGTGAAATAGATTTGGCAGCTATTTAGAAGCTGGGTTTGTCTGGGGAGGTACTATCTGTTCTGCTTAGAGTAACTCGATCTCCTGCAATTTAGACACATTGGCAACTCCAGAAGGATGAGGGATGTGGCAGCTCCCGCTGTAGCGGTAAATGCTAGCGTTAGAAAGTTATAATTCCACCCTAAACAAGCAAAACAAATACTTTACACCGCCGCTACCACAATGCCAGAAACACCTGCTAATATGAAGGGCACGGAATGGACTGCAACGTGAGTTCAGTTATGAAAGATTTAAGTGGCGAGTCTTCCATGATTAAAAATGCACCAGGCGGTCCCTTCAGGACCTGGCTTTTGAGTTGTGTATGTCAGAAACTGACACTCTTCAGAAAACATGCTCATCAAGACTGTGGAACCGGGGAGTCTGCAGAGTAAGGGCTATTTCCTTGCACATTTTTACCCTCAGCTAAAGCCGAGATGACCCACATAAGTCACATTCTTCTACCCCCCAATGCCCGATAGGGAAATAAATCAGAGTCATGCAGAAATTCTGAATTCTTATCACTTCCGTAATGAAAGTTGCACATGATTTTCAGGAAACATTATTGTCCCGAAACATCTTTAATTTACTATCAAGTCTCTAGATGTTTTTATGAATTTACGATAAGACTGGCTATGATGAAGTAAAACAATTTTGTGCTAGGAAGGAAGACATGCCCTAATTTTTTTTTTTTTTCGGTCTTGAAAATGGAAGAGGGGGAGAGACAATTGAGTAATAAAACAAGATATATTGCTCCATTTATCAATAAGAAAATCATAACCATTTGGCGACGGTATGTACTGCTCGGCCTTCTGCATCGATGCTGGCACCATGGCTGAATGTTCGCAAAGACTCACGCGGGAAGTAAAATAAGGTTGGTGAAGCCGCAGGGTCTCCTCCAGGAATTGGAGTCATTTGCATTTTGAACATTTCAGAAGGGCCAGGAATATGGTTTGCATGAAACCTGCCCATTTTCCGTATGGCCTAAAATGCAGTCCAGGGCTATTTTCAGTAAGGAGAATAACTTCACGTCCAGTTTCACCTCGGCACGTGACACAGACTCCCCGGGCACTCTCGAGCACTTCTGTCTGGCTCCCTTTTAACAGGAGGCAAACTATTTATTTGTATGATAAGCCACAGCAAGAATCTTTAGATTTGAGGGAATAGCTTATTTGCCCGAAGCCCTGATGATCTTCCCTTAAAAAGTCATAAATTAATCTGCCCGGAGACATGGATGTTGAGAAGCGGCAGCGTGAAACCGGAGGATTCAACATTCATCATGCAACTATAATTAAAACAATGAACTTGGTACTGATAGGACGGCAGCAAGAGGGGGATTCCTTTAAGACGAGTTGGTTATCAATTTAAAGAAGATCAGAAACAGGCGTGCACATGTCACCTCTTTTTTCATGCTTGGCCTCCTAAGATCCACTAATCTCCTTCCTTCTCAAACTGCATGAGGCCGCAACTCTGCAGTGGGTGTGCAGCAGAAGTGGAATTCTGAATCATCCCAGGAAGACGGAATATTTCTATATTTAACCAACAGTGAGAATTCACTGAACGATGTGGGAAAACATTTTTTTGGGGAGGGAGGTAGCTAAAATTTTCTTTCAATTAATCAGCATAGAAAAAAGGAAGCAGACTGCCCTGAGGTCTGCAGGAAGATGTGTGGGGGAAACGCACCCAGAAAGGTATGTGCACGCACACGCACTAGCGCACTTCCGTGGTAAGGAGGCTGGCGGCATTGAGAAGCTCTTGATTAAGGAGAGAATGAGACATGAGCTGACTTCAGAGATCAGGAGAAAGAGGCAGATGATAGGCATTTCATGTACTTGAAAATGAGCCATGTACCAGCAGGGCGAGGTGGGAGAGGGGCTTTGGATCAGACAGACAGAGATTCATATCCTGCGTCTGTCTCTCGCCAGCTGTGTTACCCTGGGAGAGTTTGCTCATGGGGTCCAAGGCACCCCCATCTGTGAAACAGGCATCATATCTTTTTTTTTTTTTTTTGAGATGGAGCCTCAAGCTATCCCCCTGGGTAGAGTGCCATGGCATCACGCTCACAGCAACCTCCAACTCCTGGGCTCAAGCGAGTCTCCTGCCTCAGCCTCCCAAGTAGCTGGGACTACAGGCGCCCGCCACAGCACCTGGCCATTTTTTGGTTGCAGCCATCATTGTTGTTTGGCGGGCCCAGGCTGGGGATTCGAACCCGCCACCTTAGGTGTATGTGGCTGGCGCCTTAGCCGCTTGAGCCACGGGTGCCGGGCCCAGGCATCATATCTAACCACACATCGTTATGGGGAAGTAACAGATGAAATAACCCACGTGAACCACTTAGAAAAGTGGCATCGTAAATGATGCATCAGTGTCAGAGGAGTAGTTTGAAGACAAAGTCACTTTGCCTTCAAAGATCAGGCTCTGGGCCGGGCACAATGGCTCATATCTGTAATCCCAGCACTTTGGGAAGCTGAGGATGGAGGATGGCTTGAGGCTTGATGTCTTGAACTTTAAGACACTGTCTCTACTAAAAGATTAGCCAGGCATGAGGTTGCTGTGAACCCAAGAGTTTGAGGTGGCATATGCCTGTACTCCAGCTACTCAGGAGGATCACTTGAGCCCAGGGGTATGAGGCTACAGGGAGCTATGATGATGCTACTGTACTCTAGCCAGGGTGACAGAGGAAGACCCTGTCTCAAAAAATATAAAAAATAAATAAATTAAAAAATCAGGCTCTAGGTTTGGGTGGGGGTGAAGTATCTTTCTAACCAAAGAAGAAAAAAAAAAGGTTATCTTTCACTTCCTTGGTCCGAGGGATTGGGTAGAGACTCTACAGAAAGGCACCAAAGAAAAACTACAGAGCCCTTATGACACAGGACAACTCCACACACCCTGCTAGAGATCAGAAAAGGCCTGGGTTTGGAAACCCACGTTCTTTCCATCCCTGTCCCGTGATCCCTGTCAAACAACAACAGCAACGAAACATGTGTCACCTTCCACTGAATTTCTTCATATCTGACCCAGAGTTTTGTTTGGTCCTACAATAAGCGCACTGGAAATTTCTGAAGCCATTTAAAGCACATACCGTGGTTTGGCAATAACTAATGTCACAGTGACTTCCAGCAGGGCCTGAGGACCATCATCACATAGAGACTTAAACCAAAGACCTGGGCCGGGCGCAGTGGCTCATGTCTGTAATCCTAGCACTCTGGGAAACCCTGGTGGGTGGATTGCTTGAGCTAATGTGTTTAGACCAGCTTAAACAAAAGTGAGACTCCATCTCTATTAAAAATGGAAAAACTAGCCAGGTATGTGGCGGGCAGCTGTAGTCCCAGCTACTTGGGAGGCTGAGGCAAGAGGATAGCTTGAGCCCAAGAGTTTGAGGTTGCTGTGAACTAGGACGCTACAACATTCTACCCAGGGTGATGAAGTGTGACTCTATCTCAAAGAAAAAAAAACAAAGAGCAAAATACCCAAGGACCTGATGCTTAAGGAAGACCACTGAGGGGACATGGAAGGATGAAGACAGATACAAAAAGCAAGGCTGAGTAGTTGGTGAGCAGATTGGAGACGTAATGAATGGGCCTGGTGCACACACAGCCAGGAGGTGAGGTGTGTGCACAGCAAAGACAGCCAGACAGCAGCAGGGGTGAAGCTGAGGAAGGAGAGGGAGATGAAGAAGAAATGGAGAGACCACAGGAAAAGAAAATAAAGAGGGATATTTAATCAAGGACCTTACGTCTTGTTACCAGTGCCTACAACTGCACACACCTCAGTTCCATTTGATAGCTGCCTTTTGGACACCAAGGAAAAAAACTAATTTAGCAATCAAAAAAAGATGACGGGCCAAGGATATGAAATCTCAGTGAGACAAGAGGAATATCCATTTTTGAGTTCTGTTGCACAGGGTGGTGAATACAGTTAATAATAGAATATCACAGATTTCAAAATTGCTAGGGAAGTAAATTTCAGATGTTCTTACTACAAAAAAAAAAAAAGTAAGTATTCGAGGTGATGGTTTTGTTAACTAGCTTGAAATAATTATCCCACATTATGTTCAGGAATCCTAACATCCCTTTGTACCCCATAAAAGCGATACCAACATACATCGTCAACTGACAATTTTAAAAACTCAATTTTCCAAAAGAAAAGGAAACATGTTAGTTTGATGGAGAGTTGAGTGTGGGGCCACACAGGTTCCCTTAACCCCGCCGTCTAGGGTTACCACCTGGCCTGCGTTTCTGACTGACATTCCAAATGTAACTTGAATTCTGCCCGTAGATTTTCCTAATTACAGTTATAATTTACAAACCACTCGGGCTTATACACGTCCCTCTAATTCAAACCACCTTATCTAATGCAACTGATACGAAGCCTTGACCATTTGTTTTCTTTTACGCTTCACTTCGTAACTGAACGTTCTTGGGGGCGGGGGTGGAGGGGGGCAATCTTTTCCGTTTCAGATGCCATACCAACTTGTTTGGACAGAACTCTGCTAATTGTCAACATCCGAAAAGCAGAGGTCAAGTGTCTTTGAAGAATAGCACAGGGCAGAAACTTGCACTTGACCCCAGCTCATGTAGGTGGTTCCAGTTCCCCGGCTCCTGGACCTCCTGTTTGCTTTCTTTAGAGTCCTCCAGCTCTCGGCCCACAGCCCGTCTCCGAGGGGTGTAGTTTTGTACCCTACCAAGCTGGCTGCGGGGCTCCGCATGCCTCCTCCCCGTCACACGTATAAAGATTCACGTGGAGAAATTACTCCCTCAAAGGAGGCAGGAACACGATGTCAAAGCCGACCAGTCCCTCTTGCCGAAACTTACATAACTCTTTAATTTGGGGATGTCTGCTTTTCTCATCTCGAAGTAGGATAACATGACTAAAAATAGGCAGCTACAATTAACCCAGAGGAAACGTTTCTGTTATTTAGGGACACGCTAAGTAACAGTGGTAGCGCTCACAGGAGCAGCGGCAACCCTCTCCTGGGTGTAAATATAGCTACTGCTACGAAGCGCTCTGCTGATGAAGAGAGGCAGAGAAAGGAGGGGAAACGCGGGGAAGGGGAAGGGCTGGGCATCAGGAAGGCTGAGGAGCGTCAGGACCCAGGCACAGTGGGGGTGCAGGAGCTGCTCTGGAATGGGAGCAAGAGGTGGTCAGGGGAAGCATCTCTCCCTTCCTCTGCCTGAGCACGGGCCCCTGGCATCCCAGCTCGCTCCTAGGCTTCCAGGCCAGTCTCTCCTACCTTCCTGTTTCACGCCTCAAGCTACACGCACTTGGTTGTGTGTCTCCTTTATTCCTTACAAATGCGGTCCAACACAGTGCACATTTGCCAATGGAAATAAGATGGCCTCAGTACAGACAATACTGTTCGCTCAAGCTTGCCTAACCACTCATGTGGCCATGGAGCAGGGCCACCCACACCAGGTGGGTCAATTCATCCAAGTCAACACGTTCCACTTCCCCATGGAATGCGTGCCACGAAGGCCGGGAGAGGGGACCTGTGTGTGGTTCTTCAAGGGCTTGGCTTTTGATTCACTGGGCTGACTCCTACAGTGGCTTTCTCCCCGTGGACGGGAGAACACAGAGGGGAACTCTACACCTGTTAATACCCCAAACATGGGAACAGAAAGCCCCGATAGCAAAGGGCTTTATACAGTAATGGCTTAGGGCACGGGCAAGTTTGGGTGTGAATTACTGGCAAAATCACTTACTCGCTGTGTGACCTTGGGAGAAGTTATTTAATTTCTCTGAGCTGTTTCCTGCTAATTCTATATGATCTCCAAGGCCCTGTCCAAACCTTAACTAAGATTCCTAACCTAGAGCAGGCTAAATAACTTAGTGGGTAACTCTCCTATTTAAAATAAGATACAATTTACTACTCACAGGTGATACAACCTTATGGAACAATAAAGAACATCTTGTTTTTAATTTTTTTGAATGAGCAAGTTATCACAATAGATGGCACTGACCCTGGTGGAGATTTTCATTCACAGCCCTGTTCCCTGGGCTGACCTGTGTCAGTGTGAAGTCCCTCACGGTCACTCCGGTGATTATTTAACAATTAGGGACTCATCTTTGTTGGGAGTCAAAATCAAGGTCATTTTTCCATTGGCCAGTTAGGCACACAGAGACAGGCATTTGGCACCCTACAAAATTGTTTTTACTCTAATTCTGAACTGTCTACTTGATGTCAACATGGCAAAAAGATGTTTTTCCACCGAAAATGTTTTTGTTAGCCGGGTCTGAAACAGGACAATAAATGCCTGGAAGAGCTGTGACCATAGGAGTGACCTGTTCAGGGGAGTTTGCAAAGCTGATTTATTTTTTTAAATTTTATTCTTTCCTATGCCTAGAATAAATACTTTGACAGAAAAATGGCACCATCTCAAGGCATTAGGGCTCAGTGACCTGAGAGGTTTTCAGTCCTTCGACAGAGAAGACCTGGGTTGGAGGCGGGTGCCCTCCTAGGGGAAGGTGACACAGACCTTTCCTGCTGGGTTGTAGCTAATGAGGGAGCATCTCTGGGACACTCTGGAGTCCAGCAGCAGCAGTGATGGGGTGACAACAGGAGAGTCAGCTTTGGGACCGCTGATCCCACATACGCGGGGTTTATGGAGCATTCACCTCCATCCTTTTATGGAGCTCTAGATTTACAAAGTATCGTTTATTCTAGTTACCCTGTAAGCTGAGCAAAATAAGTAAGCGTTGTCTTTCCATTGTACGGTAGAAAAATCTATCTTGTTCATGGCCACACGGGAAACAGCAGACCCAATACCAGACCCCAGGTCTGACCCTGAGCCTAGTACCCTACCCATGTGTCAGGTCACTTCACTTTTGGTTAGGGAGCTTTGGGGGATAATGCTGGCATCTGCTGAAACACCTGCTTTCTAGTCTTCCGGTCGTACCCTGAGACACCTCCCGCTCAAACTGAACAAGGATCACCACCCTCCATTTGCTGGTTTCTCTGTGACTGCCTGGGCAGCTTGGGAAGGAGGGTTTCCTACAGGGCGAGGTGGATCTGAACACGCACCGTGGCAGGGAGCTGTACTGGCGCTGGGCCTGCTGGAAGTTCTCACGCTCCTCTTGCCGCTGCCTCTGCAGCTGCACCTCCACGGACACCGAGTGTCGCCCGCTCTGCGCTGGTGGCCTGGAGTTGGGCTGGAGGAGAAAAACGCAAATCATTAACCAGGAGGAACAACACAGGGAACTGGCTGACTCGATTTCAGCTCTCATGAATTGACACAGGAACTTCGTGCAAACTCTGGGATTTTTTTTTTTTTCTCTTTCTTTCAGAGAAGAGAAATATCATTGATCTAAGAGCCTCAAATATTCAATCAGTGTAAACTGTGATTTTTGGCTTTGGCATGTGGTCTAAGAGGGAGAGATCAACCTTTCTGGTCTCCTTCCTGAGGTTTGGTGAGTATCAACGTTAGACACCTGTCTATATTTCTTGTATATACTACAAAGACCAGGAGAGCAAGGATGTTCAGAAGACTAGAGGAAATGAATGCTGTAAAATAAAAAAATAAAACTTGGCTACAATGATTCACAAATGCAAGGAAGTCTGAGAGTACACAGTTGAAAGCTGCTGTGCTGGTGAAGTTTGGGGGTAGTTATATATATTAGTCTTGTGGTCAGATACAATATAGTTGATTCCCCTTTTGACAGGTAAGGCTGGGTACAGTGGCTCACAGCTGTTATTCTAGCACTCTGGGATGCTGGGGCAGGTGATTGCTTGAGCTCAGGAGTTGCGACCAGCCTGAGCAAGAGTGAAACTGTCTCTAAAACTAGCTGGGCATTGTGGCAGGTGCCTGAGTCCCAGCTACTCAAGAGGCTGAAGCAAGAGGATGGCTTGAGTCCAAGAGTTTGAGGTTGAGGTTGCTGAGGGCTATGATGTCACAGCATTCTACCTAGAGTAACAAAGTGAGATTGTCTTAAAAAAAAAACAAAAAAACTCACATTTAAGTTTTGAGCCAAGATTAGTTTAAACTTGGCTCTATTAGCCATGGGCAGGTCCTCTCCCATCTATGAATGGCAGCCAGACAGGGAACAGAAATAGTATTGAAAGAATAAACCTAAAAGCTAACAGCTACCTAAGCCGGTTATCAGGTAATGCATTTTATCTTGGTTATTAGGAAATAGTTTTCCCTGGCCTAATCATGCCCTGTAGAGAGATTTGCAATCCTTCTGGCTAAGTGCTTTGGCCGGCAGGTCAGCTGTGGATTGGTGCCTCTCACCAAAATCAGATTAATGAATATGCAAGTTGTGCTGAGTAGGTGAAGTCCCTGCGGACACGTGGACTTTCACAGACAGTTGTTCCTGTACCTCTAGATCTGGCCTTTTGAAATGAAAGTAGCTCCGCTCAAAATAGACAATGGTGCCTCTGACTTTACCAAATGTCTAACAATGGTTTGTCACAGCATCAATGGCGGGCACTCTTAAGTAATCTCTTTGGATGCGGGCTCACCTCTGCTCCCCCATTGTGCTGCTCAACGTTGGACACCAGGCATATTTTCAGCGAAGAATGTCTGTTAGAAACAGGTTATTGATTTTTCTTTTAGAGTTGAAAGCCAGTGGAACACCGTGACCCTCCAATAATTTTCTAAAATAACAGAGTCTTCGTATCCATTTGGAGAGGTGTTAAGATAACATGGGGCCTTGTTACCTAACAGACAGCTCCTATGGGGGCCTGGCTTTGTGTCTGCGCAGAAATCTACCGCCATCCCTTGTTCTCTTTCTGCCAGGCCAGCGCCACCTTATTTGTTGATAGACAATGAAGAGACAGGAGACAGGACAAAAATTTCCAAGCATATGGGCATTGTCAGCGAGCCTATTAAAAATATCCTGATGCAAAAATAACGTGCAAGGAGATTAGGCTTTACAACGCCCCGGTCTCTAACTCGGCGATGTTTATAACCGCACTCGTTGGAACAAATGTGTGCTTGGGGACCCGCTTCGCAACACCATTCAAATAACACATCAGCGGTGCCTTCGGCAAGAAAAACACTTCCCTGAGTGATTTCTGCTTATGCAAACAAAGCTTCACCTAATTGTTCATCGACTCTATTAAAGAACTCAGACGTTTTCTTCCTTAACACTTGATGACGGGTGGCCAAGCTGAACTTGAACTTGTTTATTGTTCATGGCGAACCATGGGGAGCTTGGGAGAAGCCACGGGACGGAGAAGAAAGCCAAGGAAGAAAATAACCACACAATTTCCTTCACGCCCTCCGAAGAACCACATTTTCCTTTCCTTTTCATTCGGTAGAAGCTCTATGCATGTGTCAAGCAGTCTTGAAAGGCCTGGCGTTCTGCGGCGCGATTTAGGAACCAGCTTTTTAAACTCACGCTGTTCTGTGACACACGGCTTGCAGAGATGTGAAAGGAAAATGCAAGGTCTTGTAGAAATTTCAGGTGTATTTTTAAGTTGTTTCTCCCGGAGGCCTGGAAATTTGATTCTGACGGAGAAAAGTAAAGTTGACGGGCCTTTGTTTTCTCAACAGTGTGTTTTCTGGCACTGTTCACCTCAAACTTTAGCCGCTGTAAGCATCTTCCTGGATTTTGCTGAACTCCAGTAATGGAATTATCAGCCTATGGGGCCCGAAAACCTCCCAGTGAGTGAATGAGTTTGGCTCCAGCAAACTGATGTGTGTCGTCCAATCGTGCTCATGATGATGTAACATAGAATATCAGCCCAAGGCAGCGCCTGTGGCTTTGGCCCCACATGCCGGAGGTGGCCGGTTCAAATCCAGCCCCGGCCCAAAACTGCAAATAAACAAACAAACCCCCCCCAAAGAAACACAGCCCCACCATTAATATTTTGTTTCATTTCTTTTCTCAGAACACACAAAAGGGTAGGTTATTAAGAGAACCACCCTTATCTTTTAGATGAGACTTTAAGGGGCCACGTATTTCTTTTTTCTTTCTTTTTTTTTGAGACAGAGTCTCACTTTGTTGCCTTCAAAAAGGGCATCACAGCTCACAGCAACCTCAAACTCTTGGGCTTAAGCGATTCTGCTGCCTCAGCCTCCCAAGTAGCTGGGACTACAGGCGCCCACCACAACGCCCGGCTATTTTTTTGTTGCAGTTGTTGTTGTTTTTTTTTTGTTTGGGGGGCTGGGGCTAGATTCGAACCCATTCAAACAGCTCCAGCGCATGTGGGTAGCGCCCTAACTGCTGAGCTACAGGCACCAAGCAAGAGTCACATATTTCAAGAAAAACTACAGACATGACCAGTCCATGCCAACAACTAAAGAAAGTCCATAGTGGTTAGGTTTTACATTTGGCCTCAACAAAAAGTCACTTTTCTAATTCACAATTTCAATGAAGATCTCATAAAAAATGTTAATTGTGGGAAGAGTATTAGCAATCCTGACTTTTTTTTTTTTTATTGAATGGTAACTGTGTACATTGATGCACTTTGGGGGTACATAGCCTTCATGTAACTTTCTTAGTTATTCTGTTAAAACATTCATATTCTACTCATAAAAAGATTCACTTGTACCCTTGTAAGATAGCAATCCTGACTTTTGGATACTATGGTTTCAATTCCTATGGCAGAAATAATAATGTATCTGAATTCGTTTAAAAAAAGGAAGGAGGGAGGGAAGGGAGGAAGAAGAGGGAAGGATGAAAGGAAGGAAGAAGGGAGAGGGAGGAAGGAAGGGAGGGAGGGAGGGAGGGAGAGAAGGGAGGGAAGGAATAATTTGTAGCCTCATAGACAAATGCATATTTTCAAAAAAGAAATCAACAATGACTACAACAAAGTAACCTCCGTTCAGGGAAATATATGTAGAGGCATAATTGTAATAATTCTGGAGATTCACCAGATAACAAGGCAAGCCTCTGTTTTAACAGTGCAAATCACAAATAACCCTGATCTTGTTGTGATGAAAATGGTTACAAGCAATGACCTTTTAAATCAAAAAAATAGCTGCGGCTGCCGAGGCCACAATGCCAATAGAGACGGTAAGGCAGAAATAAATGACTATCTACTACATGGCACACAAGAGAGCTGCGATACACGGATCTCTACGTGGCTTATGTTGAAAACCACAAGTGCAGCATATATGCACATTGCTTTGGTGAGCGAGTCGCAAAGCACCTTGTCTTTACTGTGATGATAAAGGCGTAGCAGTCAAAGCTGGAGGAAGCTACATAAGTTTGCGATCACTTAGTGGAAAGCAGAACATAAAACACATCTTTCACAGAGTGCATTAAATCGTGAACTAAGCATTTCTCTCCAATAAAATCAGGCTTGTTTCAATGTAGAAAACTAAAATACAAGTTATAAAAATAAATACAAAACAAAATAGCTAACACATAGTTAACGGGCTAAAGAACAAAAATAAACCCAGCACAAAGTCTCAGCGCGAACCAGAATTAGGTAATATTCTAAACCTTTTTACAGTTTAGTATTAAAGTTATGCTGCCCCTCGTGAAGTGAAATCATCACTGTTTTCACACTGATGTAAGATATCCAATGTTTTTAAACCCCTATTATTTTTCTTCATATAGATAAGAAAGGTAGTGCGTAAACATATGAAGCCAGGGGCGGCGCCTGTGGCTCAAAGGAGGAGGAGGTGGCGGGTTCAATCCCAGCCCCGGCCAAAAACTGCAAAAAAAAAAAAAAAAAATATATATATATATATATGAAGCCAGACAATTAAGTTTGTGAACGCATTCTAGAAAAAGTGCTACGTACCTGTTGAATATTGCTACAGCCACCTTCTAAGTACTCACCACCTTGGGAAGCTATGCACTCAAGTCATTGCCTAGTCCACCCGTTTCTTTCTGGAACGGCCATCAGAGCTGTTGTTGTGTGAGGGCTGACAATTAAGTTCGCAGACTCCTTCTAGAACAAGTGCTTTGGAGGGTGGACTAGGTGCTGGCCCGAGGGGAGGACTTTGGAGGTGGCTGTAGTGACAGGCACCTATGAAGTTTGCAGCACGTTTCTAGGATGGGTTTATGGGCTTACTAGTCCGGCCTCACGCATGTGTGCACGTGTATATACAAACACATGCAGGTAGTATTCTTACCAGTGATTGTTTGGGGCAGGTTTTCTGCTACTTGAATTATGAATAATAGGAATCCTCCAAATGTCACACGTCCAAGGGCATACACGGAAAACAAAGAGTAAAACAAAAGATCTTTGTGTG